CCGCGGCCGGGGAGCCCGAGGCAGGGGCCGAGGAGGCCGAGGGAGGCGGCGGCGGCGGCGGCTGCTGCGGCTCGGGCCGCTGCAGGTCGGTCATGTAGCCATTGGGCAGGTTGGCGATGAAGCTGCTGTCCGAGAGCCTGCGCCGCAGAAAGTTCATCATCTGGCCGGGCGAGAGAGAGGGCGAAGCTGCGGCGAGGAGCGAGGAGCTGGAGGGAGGGAGCGAGGGCGGGCGGGCTGGCTGGCAGCCGGGCGCCGCGGCGGGGCTGTGCGATCCGCAGCCGGGCTCGGTCGCAGCCTCACTGCCGGCCGGGGCGGGGGCGGCGCTGCCTTCGCGTCCCTTCCCTTCCCTTCCCGTCCCTTCCCTCACCACAGCGCCGCGGCCGACGGCTGCAGCGGCTGGCGCGCGCCCGCCGCTCCCGCCCGCCTCCAGGCGGCAGCCGCGAGAGGAGCGGGGCCGCGCGGCCGCCTCAGCGCCGGGCACAGCGGCTGCGGGAGGGTCGCTGCGGGGAGGGAGACAGGGCAAGGCCGGGCGCTGCAGCCGCTCCCGTCACGTCTCCGAAACGCTCCGTCCCCGGGAGCGGCCGCCGCAGCCCCGGGCGGCACTCCGCCTCCTCCACGCCGGGCCTCGTGATGATACTTGAAGGAAAAAAGTTTAAGGAAGGCGACGCAGTGCGTGTGCGAGGCGATGCTGCGTTGTCAGGAGAAGGACGTGCATGGTCACAGCCCGAAGGTGCAGGCTGGGCCTTGCCTACTTTAAAGTCTGTTTCACCTCAGTCATGCATTTAAACGGAAAAGCCTGACAGACGCCCTCAGCGTAACACACACCTTTATCCCAGATACATACCTGCAAAATATTTTGCAACTGATCTTTGCGTGCCCTAGTGAATGTAACAGGTGCTCCAGCACTATACACGGCAAATGCATGCAGCAAAGGTCTTTTCAGGTCAGAAATTTGATAAAGCTTTCTCAATAAAACTTCCACAGTTTAAAGTTTATGCGTTCAAAGGTATAACAGCCTGGGATTCTTTCAAGAATCATTGAATTTAGGAACGTTGATAACAAAATACAGTATCAAGGCTATTAAAAATACCTTTTAAACACCACAGAAACTGGGGGAGGCAGTGGGGGATTCGTGCTGCTGAGCCACAACACAGGCCATGGGTAGGTACAGCTTTTAAGGGCACAAAAGTTTAAACAAGACGAACAAGCTGAGGCTACTGCTGCAGTTTGAGTGCTCCTGGCAATTCCCTCAGGCTGTGGCTTAGTGCTTCTAAAGGAGTCATGGAGCTACTCCTGTACCTAAAGCCATGGACAGCTAGTGTGATCTTCAGAGAATCTGTTACTCTCCATAGCATTTTGATATCTTGGGGCCATTTGTGCTTCTGAAAACCGTGTATGTAAACCCAGTTCTGCAAGCTGACTCACCTACAATGCGACACAGAAGCAAATTGCCTGCAGACAGAGGTGGGATGCTGCGCTTTGCTGTGGCAAGTGTATGTCTCATTTCCACTGGTATCACATCTGCAAAGCTGATAAAACCACAAGACTGAATCACAGAATCACAGAATTTCTGGGTTGGAAGAGAATTGTTTCATTCATCCTTGCTGCAACAGTTGCAGCAATCCCTCCGCCTTCTCTTCTGAAAAGCTGGAGGCCTAAGTAAAGAAAAGAGGGTCTGCTTATACATGTACTTTTCAAGAGACTTTTCATAAAGTGTGAGCAGTTTCACTGCCCCGTGAAGGTATTTCTGGAAAATTTTAAATCAGTCTGATCCTGAAAAATGGTACTTAGATATTTTTGAAATTACTGTTCTACATTGAAGAGTGACTGTATAAAAACAGCCCCTTTGGACAGACGGCTTCCTATGGAAACTCAGAAGCTGCTTATTTTACTGACAACAATCAGACATCTTGCAGAGCCAAATTAAGTACAGCAGAATGAACTGCAGTCCACTCCACTTTGCACATTAACAAAAGTATTAAGCAGGGCTCTGTTACAGGGCAAAAATCCATCTTTAGTGTCAGCCATACTCTTCTGTATGAAGGCAAGATACATGTACCAAGTGGAAATGATAAGGAGCAATTTAAATGTCAGGATCCATTACTGTAAAATGAAATAACAAATGATTAAACATCAAGTGGTTAGGCAGCACAATTTGTGTGATGGGAGATCCATCCTTATTAACATATTTGCGTGGAAAACTTGTTTTCTAATTGATGAAATCTGATTCTCATCTGCAGTACTTTCCTGTATATTATCAGTCCAGCAAAGTAATTACTTTAAGATTACACAGCCTGACCCTAATTGTAATCATGGCCAGCAGTCTCTGATAGGGTTGCCCTTCATGGTTGCACCAGATGTCGAGATAAGCAGCAGAAGCCTTGCTCACACCCTGTGCACTAGATAGTTCATAGTTTATGTAATTCACTCTGAATGCACTATCTCTACTCTATAAGCATCTCTTCAGAAATTAGGATGCATATTTTTTTACTTCCTTACATTACCACTATGATGACTAAACTGTTAAAAATTTAGAAGCATTTTCCAGTGCTAGACTTCAGAGTTTTGTTTGTTTTTAAAAAAACATCCTTTAGCATATTGCCATTTAGACCACCCCTCAGAGTATTGCAATGACCTGATAAACACAAAGCTGCACAAGGGCAACTGGCAACTGCACTCGGTCAAAATCTCAAAGAGCATGGTTCCTAGGGCAGGACAAAACAAAAAGAGTCCTTCCTGTAGCATTACTGTAACTACAAGAGGAAAAATTGTTCAAAGAATATCTGAAGGATGACAGAGAGCTTGATAAATATATTAGGCAAAACTGTGCCCAAAAGAATTAGTACCAACACCTTTTGCCCAAGCTACCATTATATACTTCATCACCTCACATTGTGAGACATTTCACTATTATTTATATCTATTAAGAAGTGAGAATACTGAATTTCAGGTTTGTTGATCAACAAATGTCACAAATTGAGTTGATATCAAAGTAGACAGTACAATAGAAAATTTTTGATCCAGTCTTGTTTCCTAACATGGACACCGCAATGTAAAAAAGAAAATAAAAATCTAATGACTGGGGATTGAGTTTGCAAAACACCCCAAAAACACCCCAACTAGTACATTTTATAATGACTTATCACATCTATAACACAAGTATTAATACAGAAATAACTTTTACAAGTTCATGCTTTACAGAAGAGTAGTAAAAAAAAAAAAAATGTACAGGCAGGTTAGGGCCAGTATGATGTGATTTCATATTCTTTTACTAATATAATGCAAAACTAAACTCTAGGCTGGTCAAAAGCCTAAAATTTTATTAGCATTTTAGGGAGAAGTGACTTTCAGGTAACTGTATGTAGTGGAAATGAGTCAGTCAAGTCATACATACCAGAAATCAGGGATTCTTACCACTTGAGCAGATTGAATTTAAATACGTTTTAAATGAAAACTACTTAACACCTCATGTTACCAGTTATTCTTCTATAAAAATATGCAAGTCTACTGAATTATAATTACATTTAATGGAGAAAAATGACTAATCTTAACCACTACTCTGTACATTACACTATGCATATGGTAATGGAAAACAGGAATGGAAGGAATCCAGGGAAGCATTTTTTTTTTACTGTTATTTGCTAATACAAGTTCTGTGCCACGTGGACTTCTGTGCACTGCATCGTTAGGAAAAAAAAAACATTACCCTATTGGAGTGAATTGTGTTTCCTGTGTACCAATTTATGGCATGCTTTCAGTTGAATGTTGTGTCCAGGTGTGCAGATAGAGTTCAGCCCATATAAAGAGGGAAAGATGAGGGCTGCCTGTACCAGTGGGGTCATCAGGGCTGCTGTCAGCATGGGTCCACTTGCATTAGGAAAGTGACATTTTCCAACCCCTCACCTGCCCAAAGGAGGAACAAGCCACAGCTGAGGTAAAGGAACATTGCTGGTAGCTGCCAGTGCAGCTAACTCTGGCATAGCAGGCCCATTTTCATGATAAATGTTAAACAGAAACTGTGCTGAAAATAAGGCACACAAGGTATGTATTCCTCTGAACTGTAGCATATCACCTGCCAATCCTCACAGAGATCAGGATTATGAAGCTTTTTGAAAGCCTCTTAAACTCATGCCAACAAAACAAAAATTTTCTTCCCAACTCCATACAAATATGACAGCTGCAACATACAAACATGCATGTAAAGAAAATACAACGGAAAATATGGGCTGAAGTGGATATACACTGTATGCCAAGGTTGTTATGCTGTGCAAAAATGTGACATACAGCATCCCAGTGTCTAGTTACACATCTGAGTTGTTAAAAAATGTTGATAGTACTATTCTATATCCTTTCCAATATTTTATTTATACCCGATTTGTCTTTAAATATTTTTCTCTCTTAAAAGCATGTACCAACTAGCAGGATAGTTATACAGTATTATTCATGAACACAAATTGAGTTACTTGTGTTGATGCTGATTGTTAGTATGAGAGCACTGTTTGTATGAGAATGGATTTGCTGAATTTGAAATATTACTCATTTTAAGCTCAAATTTCAAATTACATTTTTTTCACCTGTGATGCATTTGTTAAGCAGATGGACCATTTTTTTTTTATATTCTAACACCTGTATTATTTCTATCAAGCATATACCCAGTTTTCCAAGTGCATCATGGCAACTTCACTCACCATACATGTCTGACCTCCTAATCCAGCAGTCCCAATTTCACTTAGTTTCATTAATCAGATTCAGTGAATTCTCCCAGAACACCTGCTGCTATGAGGCCCCTGAAGCAAAAACATGTCAGTTTTCTATTTCTGATCTTCCTTGTATTTTGTTGTCCAAGGTGGCAGAAGTACAGTTGAGCCATATGAAGATGTGACAAAAATAGGCACAGCATGAGTAACTTTCTCAGTTATTGCTTCAGAAAGGACACAAAATCAACTTCATCTTCATTTCTCAGCTCTTACGCTTTGACTTATTAACAGTAGCAGAGAGGATAAATTATACAGAGTGTTTTTATTTATTTATTTATGTCAGCTTAGTAAATATTTACCTGGCCTAAAGTAATCTCATATTTTATAAGCACACCAATTTAAACAGAGTTCTACATTGGCAAGAGAGCCAATTAATAATTGAGAGAGCAGTTAAGAACCTCTCAGCCTCTGTGTTCCCAAAACAGTAGGTTGTTCCCCACTCATAGCAACTCCAAAGGGAGGGCACCAAGAGCATGGAAGAAGATGCTGTAATCTCCAAGGGCTCCAACGACTGAACTGACCTGATGTCACAGGGTACGTTTTGCCTCTTTGTCAGTACAAAAAGCAAATGATCCTACGGCAGTATTTTCTTGGACATGAAACCAAGTAGCATTCCTGGGGGGGAAAAATAAATAAATGAATGAATAAATATATATATATAAAATATACATCTGTATCTCTATATATGTACTGTTGTGTACACTCACTGTGCTCTACAGTGCAGTAAATTCTATGTAGGAAAACCCGTGACTATTTGTTTTAGGAATCATGATTTATTAGAGTCATATTTTTACCTTAGCAAGCTTTGAACATGAATGAATGCACATGGCAGACAAGAACTTTGTAGTCTCATGAATAATGCTGAGATGTAAGAGGGATCTCAAAAAACTCTGATGCGAGAATAACCTGTAATAGAAAAAGGCAGACTGCAGTCTATATGAGTGATAATATCTATAGGACAAATAACTGACTACATCTGTTAAAATAGTTTGTCTCATGATTTATTTCAAAATCTGAATCTATAACAGTAGTAAGTCATATCTTTTCATTTCCTAATAATAAATAAGTTACCTGATTTTTGTTCACTGTATCCTGTGTCTTAAGGATTTATTTTTTTTAATATTTTTAAATGAAATTTATGAGTTATGAAAATTTGTGTGAAAATTTGTTACCCTTACATGGTGCATATATTTTATTTGATTGAATACATAAATTTGAGGTCAACTAAAACACAGTGATGCAGTGAAAAATAAACACAGGACTGGCTATTAATAAAAAAGAATAAAAAACTGTACACCACAATGTTAGATGAAATACAGCAAACAGAAACTATGTCGCACTTACATCCAACCTGGCCTTCACAATAAAACTGTATTTTTCTTTTTACATGACTTACAAAATGATTAAGATGAATGTGCATTTAACTAATTGGCTGCTTTAGTCACCACAAATTCATTTTGAATACCATGTATGTGAAAACCTGATAAGCCATTAATGTGCAGCATGCAAGATGAACCAAAAATTGAAAGGATGGCAGCACGCAAGCTAAACAATATAATTATGTTTTGTTATTGATTTTTTTTTTCTCAGATGAATTCAAAGCAAATATTATGCAACATGCGTGACATTCAAAAATTACCTTTCATCTCACCATTGTCAATGAATGCAGATCTATTCTATAAAGTAAAACATTAACATGTCTGTTGTAAAATAAAGAATTAAAAGAACAGCTTCATAGGTGAAAGATGAGTTATATTATATTGAAATCATATATTTTAAACACATGTATTTATACACATGTATGATATTACAGATGTCTAGATATAATTACACATATTCCCAATGCTTTCTTCGAGATAATTAGCTAAACATAGGGAAGGGATATACAGGCTGAAATACACAACCTGCAATATATCTTATATCATTTTCTATTTTTTTTCTTTTCTTTTAAGACAGTTATCTAAGATTTTTTTTTGGCCAGTCATTTCTGTTTTACAAATTTAATGCTACGTACAGTGTTCATGATTTGCTGAGGGCAATAGTACACTGTTTATTCTATGGTCTCATTAAAATTGAATACCTTTTGTTTTCTCAGAAGCTGGTTCCTTAGTACCAAAACCTGAAGTAGTTTCACTCCATAGGAGTGCTATGCTTTGATTAGACTACAAATTTGTCAAGGTCCTTGAGAAAGCTTGATTTGTCCTTTGGTTTTGCTTGCAATTCATCTTCTCTACTATGTTGCTCATGCAACAAAGTTCAAAGATACTCTTAACAGACTTCTTTTATACTAGCAGAAAATAACAGTTAAGCAACCATTTGAAAACAAGTGCATCTTCAACCATTTCAAAAGCAGAATTCATTAGTTTAGAAGTTTGACTACACTGTATAGTTTTCTATACTGCAACATCAGAGCCTTATGCTTCAGTCCAGTAAGCAGTAAAATCAGGCAAGGTTACCAAGTTACTTAAACCCTGCCTTCCAACTGGCCTTTCCCAAACATTTCCTGACAAACTGAATACAAGACCATATAATTCAGTTATCTAATAAAGTTCAAGTGAAGATGTAAAATTCATCATGCAGTCCTATGCAAATGCATGCATCCAGCATCTTTCAAATAGCCATGTCTTAAAAGCTAAGGCTGAAACATCTGTCAAATAATAGTGTGTGTGTGTGTGTGTGTGTGAGAGAGAGAGAGAAAAAAAAAATACAAAAATTACATCATGGTTACTTGGTTCACAAACCCTTCAGTACTTTTCACTTTTATATGGAACTTGTGATGAGAAATCCGTTGGCTATATTTTGCTGGCAAAATCCAATCAGCCCTCCTTTGGCAGAGTGGAAGCCTGCTGAAAGCCCAGAGCATCCTATTCATCAAGAATGCAGCCACCTTTTCTGCTCAGCTAGCACTTTAAAAATATTTCAGAACGTAAACATTCTTGGTCTCAAGTCATCAAGTCATGCACTAGCAAATAAAATGAACACTAAAAATCCAAGCAGAAAGCTATCTAATAGGAAAACAGCCTTTGGAAAAATGCTTCTTCAAACACTACTTAGCAAAATTTTCTCTAAATATTCCATATAGCCACCCCTTTCACTATACATTCATCACCAAAAGAAATTAATACTTTTGATAAATGTCATTATTAACTCTCTCAGATTGGGCTTCCTCTCACAGTGTTTATAATGCTACAGTTTCTTGTGAAAGAAAAGAAATTAAACAGTCATAGTATCATGTGAAAAAAGTGCAAGTCACAGTATAGAAAATCCATAATAGAAGAAAAAAATCTGGTAGTAGTATGGTAACATGTTATGCCTTTAACTCAGAGGTAGTCAAAGGTGGTCCAGAAGTAAGGTCTACCAGAAAAAAGTAACTATGGATATGGATGATTTTCTGTCAGCAGAAGCTTTTACATCAAAATAAAATATCTTCCAAGAAGGTATTTTAAATTCAAAACAGAATTTATGGTGTTGACGAGAAAGTTATTTGATGAAATTCTATTATATGTGGATTAGAAGGAATTATCACAATGGGCTGCATTCACACTGTACTATCTATAAGCAAATTTAAATTACTACAAGCAACTTCAGGATGTTTTCAGGCTCATTTCTCCTATGAAGTTTTATCACTGTCGTTAAAAACTTTTTAATTATGAAATTGAGGAATATGAATTCTCTATCTTCTATAAAGAAAACTTTATTCATATATTCATAATATTATTATTCACTTGTCATCAACTTGCACTTGCCTATTTTAAAAATTATTTTTTAAAACATGAAGGGTAAATTTCTATGTAGTACAAAAGGACAAAATATAATTTACTGACAATACATGGTAAAAGTAGGGCTTTAACTCTGAGTTACTCAGAATCAGAGTTGTTTTTTTTTTCCCCTTCATAGAAAAAGTGTGGAAATACAAACCTATTAATTCTAACCTTAAAGAAAGAAACAGTTTGTAGAAAACTGTATTCAGATGGTAATTCAAGGGTTTTGGTAAGACTAATACAGGAAGACAAACATTTGTATTTCAGTCTTTGTAGTTTTATGAAGATTTTAATCTTCAACAATAAGTTTTGTCATGTCTCTGTTAATGATGTTGCTGAGAAAGTTACTTCCATTTTGTTGTTTGTACTGAATTTAATATCATCCACTTATTGTGTAATGAATAGTCAACCTTAGAGCTTTTAACCTAGTAATAACTAAGGAGAGCAAGTGACCTGAAGAATCCAACGAATAACTGTTTACTATAATGTATTGGACTGTGAAACAGTTTGCCTTGTTGCTTTTTAAAATTGTATGACTTGAACAAATTATTGTACAATGAATAATGAAAAAAGGATCCTCTTCTCTTCTTAGAAATATATAAATCTTCAGTTCTCCTTTACAGCAGATTTAAAAGCCTAAACATAACCACAGAAGGCTGAGTGAACAAGGATACATCTCTTGCATTGAAATTGACTCTGTGTCTGCAGACAACTTTGTGCCAAATTCTTGATTATATCCACCCAATATAGTGTACAATAAACAGTGGTCCAACACTTTTGCTGTTATCAGCTAATTTTGATTTTACGTTTAACCAGAGTAATTTTAGGACTAGCTAGGGAAATTCAATACTGCAAAACCCTAATGTATTGAAGGAAACACTCTTTCATCATTTACATAATGATCATTTATGCCCTGAAATATTCTCATGGTATACATCACTATACGTAATTTGACCATTTAAAGAAATGCAGCTGCTTTAGTTGTCCACTGCTGAAAACCCACAGATGATTACAGAGGTCCCTAATTTCCCAAGACAGTTGAAAAAGACCTGTGTTCTGGTCCTACTTGCTGAACCTATTACCAATCTTAAACATATGATCTACTCTGGTCTTGGAGGCACAACCCACCAATAATCAATTGGACTTCAAATGGATGTCTGAATGCTTTCTAAAAATAAACCTTTATGATATCCATAATTAAGAATATCTGAAAACAGCTATACAAAATATGAGTCCCAACCTGCCTACCTATATATAATATATATATATTACTGTCAAGAAGGGTAGTGCATCGCAGTGACAAGGTTTATGTCACGTTGTGAATTAAACGTATGAGGTAATGGTTGTAAATGCACTATAAATGCTTTTAAAACTACAACATCAATTTTTAAATGCAGATGTTTCATTAAGAGCTATACTCCTTCCAGAGACCACAAACAAGTGAAACAGTGAAAGAAAACTTTCCAGTATGCTCTTTGCAATGAATAGAACTAAGAGAGAAAGGCAGAAGGCAGAACAACAGATTTAGGTCACTAACAGAATGTGAATGTCTTAACAAAGCAGGAAGAGTTTCTAAGTTTTGATTCTTAATAGCTATTCTGTGATGCAGTTGCATTACACTAATCGTATCCTTTAAATCACTCTAAAGGTAATTGTGCTTTAAGCATTTGATTTCTTAGAACGACTTCAGGGTTATTTGAGAGATTAGTTTTGTCTCGTTTATCTCCTGCTCTGTTTCAGTTCTGTAATCTGTGATGTTTGACACTCAGAGATGCTACAAGACTTAATAATGAGAAGTTATGTAAGAATCCCTTTTCCTATCCCTCACTAAATCGCTATGCTAAAATAATTTTATTTCTGTATAAACTACAAAACCTGAGTTATATTGTTTGTGCTTACATAATATTTCTCTGCTTAACAGGGATGATATTAGAGGGTGTTCTTTTAGTAATATAAGAGATTACAGAGCTCCCTACACCTTATATAACATGAAGCTACAGAATCAGCCACTGACCTTTGCTTGGTTGGATAAGGCTTTAATGCCTTGCATTTAGATTTGAACAATAAGCATTTTGTCATTGATTTGAACAATAAGCAATGGTCTGGGATGAAAAACACAGAACCTCCAGCCCTTAGCAGGACAATTACTTCA